CGTGAAGACAAAATTAACTCCGAAATTTTTTTAAATAAAATAGTACATTACGTTAGCTTTAATTTAAGATATAGATAAAAGTGTCAGACTTTCCGGAACATTTTAAAAATTTAAGTGAAAAAAGTTAATTTTTTGTGAAAAAGTTGTCATTTTAAATCCCCCCCGTGGGCAGGTAAAGGGTCAGATTTATAAAAAAAATATATCAAATGAAAAGTAACGATATCATACATCTTTATAAAAAAGTTATGGCAATTTTTGAGGGTAATGTCTTCGACTAGATACGATTTGTGATCTTTTGACGTATTACTGAAAGAAATGCGTTCGGTGAGAGCTGAGAAAAAGTGGTAACAGACACAAAAAAAAACACACCATAGTAAAAATAATACCTTCTCAGCTTTGCATCGAAGCTAATAAAATAATGATATGAACATAAGCTGATTTAATTTTTCAACTTTTAAGCTATTAAGAAAAAATAATTTATTCCTAAATACTAATAACAATTAAGTTATAAAAAATTTTAAAATAAATATAAATTATAAACAATGTAAAATTTTATTTTATTTTATTTAAAATTAAAAACAATTCCTGCCTTTTTTTAGTCATATTTTAATTACTATTATTTAGAGCACGCAAATAACAAATTAACAAAAACAAATAAATTACCTATTGTAACTACTAAATTATAAAAAAAGAAAAAAATTAAAGATAAGATTTATCAAAAATTTTTTATAGAGTATACTCTATCGAATTTTGTAATCAACTAGATTCTAATCAATGCAGATACTTGGTAGTTTGTTATCATTTGTTAGACCAGAGTTAAAAAAAATTTACCTACAACCACGTTTGGAGATATTGCTATTCCATTTATTATTACGTCTAGAACGTTATCTTTTTCAAATAACGTTGTCTATGAATATAAAAATGAAAATACAGCCATAATAATAACTGTATTACTCAATAGTAATCACAAATGAATAATAATTTCAATGTATATAAGGCCTAGCACGTTTTTGATAATTCGTAAAAATAATTGAATTTTAAATTTGGGGGGGCCGGCTCTGGGCCACATTAAATTTAAGGGGGGCCAGGCCCACCCAGGCCCACCCTTGTCTACGTGCCTGCCTAATAGAAAAAAAAATAATGTCTTTTGGTACAAAAAAAATTACAATGTAATCTAATAAAGTTTACTTAACCCATTTTGAGAAAACTATAGTTATTTAAAATGGAAAATTAAGAATTTTATCAGAATGAAACATTTGCGACAGTTGGCGAACTGGAAATTAGGATAAAAAAGAAAGTTTAGTTTTTCATAAAGGCGACAACATTTTCTTTCACTAGTTACAATTTTAATTAGTTGGATTGACTAATTTTTTATTTAAAGGAGATGTACGAAAAATTACTAACTTATTTCACATCATTAAACATTATGATAAAAAATTAATAAATAATGGTTGTAAATTTGCAGCCTGATACCTTTATGAACAAAATTGCTGACTATAGTAACTTAAGCTAGTTGGTCGGAGATGTTCATGAACCTATATTAAGTGGTTAAAGTTAATATAAACAACCTAAAAAACCTAGCACAGTTGGGTCGGGGCATAGTAGTGGCGCACCATAGTTGATACAAGTATAGATGATATCTGACATTGATTAACATCACTGCCATAATAAAACACTTCGTTGTAATTACATAAACTAATTAAAAATTACGAATACTACAACCAAAGTAATACACAATACCAATAACTCAAAAAAAATAACGACATATCGTTATTTTTTTAGCTTCGATGCGAAGCTGAGAAGGTATTGGTTTTACTATGATGTGTTTTTTTTTTTTTTTTTTTTTTTTTTTT